CTGTTGTCATTTGCCTGCTAATGTCATTTGGCATCTGAAATCACTCCACTTTCCAATAAATAGGACAGATGGACTCCCATTCTAGCTGTTTCTGAAGAAGTGGCTCACGAAAACTCATACCCTGCCACATATTTTGTTAGTCTTTAAGGTGCTACTGGACTCTTGCTGTTTTCTACTCATAAGATCTTGGAAGCTAAGCAGGGTCAACCTTGGTTAGTACTTGGATGGGAGACCACCAAGGATGTGCAGGGAATGACAAACCACTTCTAAACATCAGAACAAAGTTTGAGTCCAGTGGCACCTTTAAGACCAACAAAGTTTTATTTCAGCTATAAGCTTCCGTGTGCATACACACTTTTCCAGATACATTGGAAGTTTGCATGCACACGAAAGCTTATACCTTAAATAAAACTTTGTTGGTCTTAAACAGGCGTGGCCAAGCTTGCTCAGCGTAAGAGCCACAGAAAATAAACATCAGATGGTTGAGAGCTGCAAGACATGAACAAATATTACACACACGTTTTTACTGGAAAATATGCAAATGTGCTTTTTATTAACGTTAAATGAGACTGTCAAAAACAAAAACAAAAGGGGCAGTGGGGCGGGGCTTGGAGAAGACATTTAACTTTAGATGGGGAGGAAGGGGAGAGAGAGAGAAAGGAAGGAAGTGGAAAGAAATCAAATAGATGGGAGGGAGGGAGAAGTGGAAAGAATGCAACTTTAAATGTATCCTCCACTCCTTCACCCCTGCTGGCTGGCTTGGCTTGGAGAAGGGATTTAAAGAGACAAATGCCTTCTCCAAGTCAGCCGGGGTGGGGTGGGGGCTTTGAGAACACATTTAGTTGCTTTCTTTTTCTGTTCCCCCGCACCTCGTGCCTACCCAGGGAGGGGAACACTGTCTGGGGAAGGGAAGACCAATCAGGGAGGCATGCCTCCTTTTTGCTTCCCCAGCCACCCTGCTGGAGCCGCACAATACATGTGAAAGAGCTGCATGTGGCTCCCAAGCCGCAGTTTGGCCACCCCTGGCCTTAAAGGTGCCACTGGACTCTGTTCTGCTGCTTCAGACCAATATGGCTCCCCACCTGAATCCACTTCTAAACATCTTGTCTCTTGCCTTGGAAACCCTATGGGCTCAACATAAGGCACCTGCAGCTTGATGGCAAAAAAAGGGGGGGGGGAATGATAACCCAACAGAGAATTCCTTCCAGCTTGGAGTATAGTATTGAGGAGTATGAGGGACACTTTGGATGTGAGAACACTGACAGTTTCTATTATCTTTGGAATATGTACAACTGTGCAAGCAGAGCATATTGGAAGCAAAGTGTAACTCCTCAAAGAGGCCCCATTTCCTGTGTTGGGTTCAACCCCAAGATACCGTGGCCCACTCTCAGTGCTACTCTCTCTCTGAATTCAGCCTGCAGACTGACTCCAAACAGTTCTCTTCTCTTTCTTATAGCTCTGATTATCCTCTTCTGAAAACTTCATATTCCATTTGTTAAAATCCTTCACCATTCATTCAAAACATGAGCAGGGACAGCAGCATACTGTGTGGGTGCGCCTGTAGTTGGGGTTTTCTGAATCTGGTGGATATGCTAGTGTCACAAGAACAGAGTTTTGAGAAAACAGGTCTAGATTGCTGTTGACAAACGAGAGCTCTGGTCAAAAGCCAAAGTATGGTGTCCTTCTTATGCTAGGAGCACATTATGATGTTCTGGTTGGTGTGTCATTTATGGCAGAAAATGCAGCCCCATTGACTTATGTTTTTGCTTCCCTTTGTTATGCTCCCTCTTGATATGAGCAGGAACTGCAAAAGCCTCTTGTGGACACCAGAGCTCAGCTGGATGCAGCCGCCTTTGACATTCAGTTCTTCATTTCTGAGCATGCTCAAGACTTGACGCCCGAGCAAAGCAGGCAGCTATTGAGGCTGCTGAATGAACTGCAGGGGTCTTTCCGGGACCTTACAGAGCAAGTGGCTGCCCGGGTGGAGGTCCTGCAAGTCTGTGTCCATCAAGCGGAGCAGACGGATCAGGTGACAGTGGTGGAGCATCACCCTCGAGTGTGTCTGATATGACAGGGAGCTTTGTGTATGTGTTTTGGCGGGGTGTAGTCCTCTTTAACAAAGCCTGCACTGTCTTTGCACAATTTTCAGTGTTTATCCCATTACAATTAATTCATGAATTCACATGAGAGTTTTGGTTCTCCTCCCACTCTTTATTTTTTGGGTGGTGGTGGTCATTTTATTCTAAGAAAGTCCTCTAGGAGAGATGAGTTTTCTAAAAGGAAATTTCATTTCAGCCAGTTTCTTCCAGTGTGATTTTTACCAAATATGGATAGGGGTTTGATTACACCACTCCCCACTTTTGAAGGTGGCTGGAGTACTGCAGTGGCAAGAATGGGAGTGGGAAAGTCATGGAGGAAAACTGGCACAGCTGGGCTCAAATGTTACCCGGGGTCCTCAGTTCTTTCCACTATGGGTGACTTCTGGCATACAGGTGTAAAGTGACATTCAAATAGGGTGCATTCATCAGGGATCACCATCTGTCTGGAAAACGCAGGTCAGCCACTTTGGAAATGTGAAATTACCCTTGGGGTTGACTTTAGTTTGTCCAAGATTTTAAGATAAATGTCTTCCTGTCTATGTTGATATTGCTCTTAGGAGTTAGATTATGAGACCAGTTTTGCTCCTCAGAAAATAGTGGTTTCAGTGGAAGGATAAATTGTAGGAATATGCAACAATGACAAAATTAACATCATATATACATGATAAACTGTTTTCAGAATTTCAAGAAAAATGGAACATCTTTTTCATTATATAGCTGAAAATCAGTAGTGAATTTATGTCAAGATACAGATTAAGAAAAGGAAAGAGTCAGGCAATATATGTTTGTAATAATAAATTATTAGCTATGAAATGAAGATAATTGGGAAAGAAAGAATAAAGACATTTGAATATGAATATATTCAAGCAAGTCCTAAATAAGTATAAGCAATTATATGATCTAGAAGATATAGATAATGTGTTTACGTGTATGTTCATATTTAAGATATGATCTGGATATTGTAGAAGATTGTGGTAGATGATTATGGCGACTATTTATGTATCTATATTTTATATAAGATTTAGAGACTATTGTAGACTGTAGTTCAAGCTTTGTTTTGTAAGATGAACCGGGAATGCCCGTGTCCAAGGGACTTGAGGCCACTTCTAGACAGTGAATAGGATATAAACATCAAGGGACTGAAGTGCTCTAACCTATTTGCTGTCCTGCAAGCCCCACGCTCCTTGGGGTTCAAGTAATGTGAGCAGCCACAATTTAAGTTTGTAGTGTAGGAATTCTACCGTACTGAGGAATTCGACCTTTCGTGGAGGGATTCTTATAGGGTGGAGACCTAAACCTCAACCACTGCACACAATACACATATATATACCCTGTTTTCCCGAAAATAAGACCTACCCCAAAAATAAGCCCTAGCAGGATTTCTATGCATTTGTGGTATAAGCCCTAGTGTCTTCTTGAGAAAAAATAAATATAAGACAGTCTTATTTTCGGGGAAACATGGTACTTGTCCTTTGGCACCTGTCCTCAGTCTCTTAGCACTCCTGTAGCAACCGAGGAAAGGAACTGGAAGTATTCCTTGGGTGCCACACTGGGATGAGGAGATGCCAGCTGCTGATCTCCAAGCTGTGTATTTTAAGCATCTAGAGAGCACCCCCTCTTTAAATAAAGGATGCCCACAAGGAGGGGAGGGTGTATACTGCTCCTCTCTGCTTGCTCAGCAATCTTGCTCTTCCAGCCCACCTAACTATCTGCATGCCCCACTCTCTCTTCCAGACACTATTAATGCCAAGTCATGTTTTGACTAACAGTTACCGTTCCGTAATGTTGTGACCATTCTGCTTCCTTTGTTTTGTGTGTGTTTGTGTATTAACCAGTTTGCTTTGCCTTTTCAGATTCAGTGTGCGAGAAGATCTCACTGTGCTGCTGAAGAGTGCTTTTTTAGGGAGTGCTCTCCCCCGCCCTTTCCCTCAAACTGCTTCTGTTGTTTGGCTTAAGAACTGTCAGAGAGAATATATATTTTTAAGTTTCTCGTTTGGCACAAAGGTTGTATGCTTTGATTCCCAAGGCGCCTTGGAAAGAGAAATTGCACACTGGTCAAAAGGAGAATGGTCTGGGAGTCACACATCATGCTCAATTGCTCCACTGATGCTCCATTTCTGTACACCAAGAAGACAATCTAGGACTCTGTTGGATGCATTGTCCAAAGCACTCTCTCTCTCTCCCACTCTCTTTGCATCCCCTTCTTGGACCATAGCCATTTTTGTGTGGTTCATTGTTCCTTGGGTTCCCAAGTCCAAAGCAAAAATAGAGTTTGCTGTTTTGGTAGCATGGGCTGGAATGTTTTCCTTCTAGGGCAAGGATTTATGTTTGAATTCAGTCCTGATGCAATGTTTCCTCTCAGTGGAGAGAAATGCAAATTAAAAAAATGTTTCCTTGGAATGCAAAATGGCCTCAGGCTTTGCGGGAGTTAGACAACCAGATTCCACCCTCCTGCTCACAGGTTTTTTCTGCAAACGTATACATGAATTATGTGTTTTAGAATAGCAGTTTTCTTGCCATGCCCTGCTCTGCTCTGCTAATACTCTGCCCATTGAGGAATAGCTATTATAGCAACATCAGACCAGCCCTTGCTGAGAGGACGGCTTACAAGAAATTTGGGCAGTAGAAAATGCAAGGTGGTAAATGTCCTCCATTGTAAAAGACTTACACTTTTCTTTCTGTTATGGGCCCAGATTTCTTTCCGGTGCGATAGCACATATAGGGTGGAGGAGACAGAGAGAGGAGGAGAGAGAAGGTGTCTTTTGGTCTCTTGGCTCCTGCTGAAAAGTTTTCTGTTTTCCAAAAAAATTTGCCTTGGCAGTTGTGACCGTAATGCTTTAAACAATGGGCATTTTAAAATCTCCTTTCTCTCCCCACCCCCCACCTTTAAAAAAACCCCAGACACTGCAGGAGCAGCAAGCTATACGCAGCCAGAAGCTGGAAGAGTTGTGCACCTGGATGTCTCAGGCTGAGACCTGCTTGAGGGGTCCACAGGAAGCTGCTGCAGAAGGGGACCTCCCCATGCTGCAACGGAGACAGAGTGACGTTAAAGTAAGCACCATTGTTTGGAATGGGCTTGACTGCTGCACAGAGCGTCTCTTGGTGGAAGATGGCACAGCTCTTTGTGACAGACTGGGATGCCAGGGGCCTGCCGTGGCAGCGCTCTGGCATCAGCACTGGACTTGTGTTGTGGGTTGATTTGAACCCATAAAGCTCTGAGGCAGGGCCGGATTTAGACTTGCTGAGGCCCTAAGCTATACAGAAAAATTTAAAATATATACACCTTTTTTAATATTTGAAAATATATTGTCTTTTAATTTTTATTAAAAATAATAATTACATAATTAAAGGGGTTTAAAATGACAAATAAGGCTCCAGCAGATTGCGAGGCCCTAAGCTGTAGCTTATTTAGCTTATGTGTAAATCCGGCACTGCCCTGAGGCATCTTAGAAGCCAGTACTTCTGAGCATCTGCCACCATCCTTCATGGCCCACTGGCATTCTTTTTGACTAACTGCAGAGATCCTTGTAACAAGGATGTGCATCAGCCAGCCTTGAATCAGGAGGGCACAAGAAGAGGTTTGTTCAGTGAGTGTCCCATGCCTGATTAGAGATGTAAAATTTCCGGAAATTCTGAAGCTCGGGAAAAAACCCGGAAAATTTCCGAGAAAAAACGGAAATTTTCAGAAAAATTGAAAAAAAATGCTACATTAGCACTTCTTTTCTCTTTTCCAGATTGAAAGTCATACTGTTACTTTAGGAACATAAAATATGACTGTGGACATTTTTACTTGGCATGAAATTATCACAACTAGCATATTAAAAATATAGTGTATCCAAACAATTATTACAAACAGAATACCCACCCACATGCAAAAACAAAACTGAAACCCTTTTCTTTTCTTGTGACAATAGCATCTCCTGAAGGAAGAAATGCATCTTGTTCTTGCATTGGAGAGTTCAGTTTGTAACCTAGGACTTGCTTGTCCTCAGTGCACAGAAATTAGATCAATCTGATACCATTTTTAGAAGTGATTTGGAAAATATTTGAACACCTTGTCTTAAAATATTTTATTCATCATGTTAAAATAAAACGTTCCATAATCAATTTCTTTTCTTTTTTCAATTTTTCCAATTTTTTAGAAAAAAACAAAAAAGGCTTCAGGAAAAAAACGGGGGGAAACCGTCCCCCCCCCTGAATTTTTCCGGGTTTTTTCTGGGCCTTCACATCTCTACACCTGATAAGACTCCATGCCCTTGACTGGTGTCTTTCAGAGAAATCGCAACACCTTTTCTTTTACAGGGGTGGGGGTGAGAATATGGTTAAGCTAGTGGAGGTAATATTTGCATATCATAGAGTTAGCCTGCGTTTCATTGGGAGCATTTGCTTACTGGGTTGCTGAGATAGTAAAAAAGAGTAAGAGTCCAGTGGTACCTTAAAGATGAACAAGCATTGTGGCAGTGTGTGAGCTTTTGTGGATCACAGCTCACTTCTTGGCGTGCAGAAGTTCCTGGGTTCAATCCCTGGCATCTCTAGTTAAAAAGAACCAGGCAGTAAGTGATGTGAATGAGCTCTGCCTGAGTCCCTGGAAAGCTTCTGCCAGTCTGAGTAGACAGTACTGACCTTGATGGGCCAAGGGTTTGATTCAGCACAAGGCAGCTTCATGTGAGCAACAGGGCTGCTATTAGAGGGAATGAAAAGGAAATACTAAACTACTCTGCCCTTCCCTTCCCACAGTGATGTAGCTTTTGTCTGTTAAATCGTAACTTCTCACACTACCTCCAGTATCTCATAAAGAAACCTTTATTCAGTGGGAAACCTTAGAATTTATTCGTTTAGATTTCGTTGTTCTATTATGAGGTTCTAGTGGTATTTTTTAACCTGTTGTTACTCCTGGGGAGACATTAGCATGGGGTGGGCTATAAATATCAGTTAAATAAGCTAGTGGAAGAACTTTTTGGAAGAGCATTGCCATTCTTTTTCATTGGTACCACCAGGATCTGCAGAGGAGTATGCACAGCCGGGCAGCATCCTTTGCGAGTGTCTTGAAAGCGACAGAAGAGTTCCTGGAGGAGAACCGGACCAAGCTGGATCCAAGGGATCTGGTATCCCTGAAAGACAGGCTCCAGGAGGCTAAGGAGCGGTACCAGTCCCTGCAGGAGAGAACAGAGGCAGCCCAGCAGGAGCTGGAGGATGCCGTGAAGACTGTGGTGCAGCAGCAGACGGAAAAGGTGAAGTGTGGAGGGTGCTGTTGTGAAACGGACTGGCAGACCTCTGTTTCTGTGCTGAAGCTGAGGCCTGGCACAGCTTTGGGCGCCACATACCTCACTGGTTTTAAGATGGTGGCAGATAAACTTTTTGTGAAAGGCTAGAGGGTCTTTGGGAGGGAAGACAGTGTGGTATAGCCTGATCTCATCGGATCGCGGCAGCTAAGCACAGTTGGTATTTTGATAAGAGACCACCAAAAGCTTTGCAGAGGAAGGCCATGGCAAACCACCTCTGCTTCTCATTTCCCTGGAAAGCCCTTTGCTGGGGGAAGCTGATCCAACCTGCTGTCCAGATGTGGGGGCAGCTTGCATGGCAGAGCAGGTGGAAAAGGACCTGTGCAGCTGTGGAGTCTCTCGGCAGCTGCCAGGGGCTGATTGTGGCAAGGCAGAGAGATCCAAGACTCAGCCTGCAAGTCATCATGGCTGTCAAAGGTTGCATGTTCCCCTGCCTAATGTGCTTGCCAGTGAGGGCTTCTTAACTCCTCTCTGCTGGGCTCCATCAGTTGGTCTTTGTTCTCTTTTGTGCCCCACAGATGTGTGCTTCTGCATACATCCCATCCATCTCTGTGATACATAAACAGAGGCTCTTTCGGAGGGATTTGAGCCCAGTGATCCTTCATCATCCTTACATGCTTTACCCAAACTTTTGATTCCAGGACAGAGCTGCCAAAGATCTGGAAGAAAACCAGAGTAAGATTGATTCCCTTTTGCATTGGATGGCATCACTGGAGCAGCCCAGGATGCACTCAGTGAGGCAAGCAAATGGCGGACATAGAGAAGAAAGAGTCCCAGATGTTCTCGATGGCCAGTGGATGAAGGCAGGAAGAGCTGAAGAGGATCTCAGTTTGCACTATGAGAACTTGAAGGTAGGTTGGTGGGATCTTGGTGGGTCAAGGGGACCTGGATTCTCCTTACCCTTTGGGGAAGGCCTAGCACAAAATCATTTCCACCCAGCCTCAGCTTCTCAGTCTGCAGTAATTACTAAAGCCTTGGAGCATTTTATGCTCATAACAACATACCTTGTGATCAGTGCTCCATCTAAGCTGTAGAGTCTTGTGAGCAAAAATTCTACTTTGTGAGCTACTGGCATTAAAGTTGTGAACAAACTATTTGGCTACTGCATAAATTAGTATGCTCTGCAGCCATCCTTCCTGAGCTAAGGCAAAAATGTGTGAGCTGGAGGCTAAAAAAAACTGTGACCTAGCTCACACTAACTCAGCTTCAAGGGAACACTGCTTGTGACAACTTAAATCTTTGGTCCAGTTATTTGACTGACAGTAGTTGTTCAGGGTCTCAGCCAGACCTACTTTTCCCAGCCTCCCTAGCTATTGGAGAGGGTGAGAAATTAAACCTCAGGTCTTACATATGCAGTGAAGATGCTCTGCTGTAGCACGTCTTTGGTCCCTGGTTGGGGACCCACCTGATTTTGGGGCTCAGCACCCTTTCTAAGTCAGGTCCAGACTGATTCCTGCCATGCTCAGGAGGCCAGGCATTCGACTGTTTCCCAAGTGGTGTGTCTTGTTGCACCCAGTTCCCATCCTCCTTTGCCAGCCTTTCTCTTTACTTTGAACTGCTCTTTCAGATCTAACTTAATTGTGAGGTCCACTTGGCCATTCTTTTGCCACATGGTTGCCCCGGTGACCTGGGCTTATAACAGCACCAGCCTGTAGCTCTAGTCCTGACATCTGAGCTGGGTCTGTGGGGACTTGCTTAGCATAAGACAGCTACTGTGGTTGATGAGACTTAAACCAGTAGGCAAGAAGCAGTCTGCATTCTCAGTTGAAGGGTGGGAGAAAGAGCAGCTGATAGATGGGAGTTGAAACTTAAAGGCACACAACTGCCTGCAGATGGAGGCTGGTCAAACCTGTGATATTCATATGGAGCTTTTAGCCTATCCTAAAGCTCTGCTGGGAGTTGTCAGGAGCTGAGGAATCCTTGGAGAAAAATAGAAAGACTGAGGTGGAGAAAAAGCTTATGGAAAATATGGGAAGCTTAGCTGAAATTCTCAACCAATTTTGGAGCCCGCACAAATTGCAAACTGAGGGAAGTTTTTACCTCTTCCTGGGATAGCTGGCATGAGGGAGCAGAGCACAGCCCTAGCCATGTGTACCAGGTCTTTACACAGAAGGAGCCTTTAGACTCTGAATTGCTGTTGCTGACCAGTGGTCCCAGCCCCATAGCTAGACTATTTTCAGTAAGGGGGGGGCACTGCCCTGCCCCCGCTCGCTTACATCACTTCCTGAAGTGACGTAAGCATGGCGGGGGGTGGTGGTTTATGCTGGGTTTCCCTTGCTGCTACATTCAGTTACGTAATAGGCTGAACCGGGGAGATCACCAGGCAGCTTTCTGATCTGCAGGTGGGCTCTCTGCCGGCAGCCCCCTTCTCTTCCCCCTGCTCAAAAGCGCCCCTTGGCTCTCCGCGGCCAGGGAAGCCTCCGCCATGGCCCAGCCAAAGCTCTCTTGCTCGCCTTGCTCCTTCCTGATGGGGAGGAGAGGAGGGCTGCAATCTAGTTTTGCTTCTGAAGCACAGCAATGCTGTGCCTCAACCAGCCGGAGAGCCAACCCAGCCCGCTTTGTGCAGAAGTCAACTCTTCCCTGTCCAAAAGCGCCCCTTGGCTCTCTGCAGCCAGGGAAGCCTCCACCCTGGCCCGGCGGCAGCTCGTTTGCCTTGCTCCTTCCTGGCTCCACGGCTGCTTTCACAAGTTCCCCAATGGGGAAGAATGGCAGGGGCAGGGAGGGGGCATCACCCCGTGGGCCCCAATGGGGGCTATGAGCCTGAGTGGTCCATCAGGGAGGATTCCTTTTATCCTGAAAGGGTTCCCTGGCCCAATCCACTCGCTGCCAGATACAGGCCGTCCCATTCTACCTCCATAGTGTTCCAAACTCACTTGACCCATAAAAGGAGATTTAGCAGTAAGCTTTTTAAATCCAAAATGTAAGAAATTATTTCTAAGCATAGAGAACGATACAGGAAACAAGGAAGGCAAGCAGATGTTAAAGACAGCGATGGTTCTGACTAAGATCATGCAAGCAACATTTCTAGTTACTATTTATACCCATCTTACAAAGAGGGACAGTCTTCCATCGGTTTCTATGGTTGCCAGCTGACAAAATTTCACAGCCTTTATTTTAGGAGTGAGGGTGGACACAGATGTATCGTGGCAACTTGACCAATCAAAAAAACGTATGCATGGGGAGGGGGTATCTTAATTCCAGACGGTCAAGAAGACCAGTGAAAAGAGGTTTCCTGTGATCATATCCGTTTGCACCCTTTACTGTGGGGTGCAAAAGTTGATCCTTTTTTCATGAGGTATGCACAAGGTGTTATGCAGGGTGATTGCAATTGGGTGGACGGTGAATTAGAAACAGGTAGACCCACTGTGCCCTGGCCTGGATAGCCCAGGCTAGCCTGATCTCATCAGCTCTCAGAAGCTAAACAGGGTCAGTCCTTGTTGGCATTTGGATGGGAGATCACCAAGGAAGTCCAGGGTTGCTATGCAGAGGCAGGCAATAGCAAACCATCTCTCAACATCTCTGGCCCTGAAAAACCTATAGAGTCACCATAAGACAGCTGCAACTTGATGGCATTTAAAAAAGACCCGTTGTCTTAAACAGAAGGATACATTGGAGAGCATGGATGTGAAGCCTCTGGTTTTGTTTTGTTTTTTGTTTTCCATATGGTGACCCCCTGAACTTCAGTGAGCAAAATAGAGCTTGCACTGGTTGGATCTCACAAAATGGAGCTCCTAGCAGACAGGGAGGTCATTTCTCTAGTAAGGTAGTTCAAGAAGAGTCTGGGTTCTGTGACTTTGCGGGGACTGAAATTAACTGGAGGCGCTTTTTTGGTTTTCCCAGGTCCGGCACCAACAGCTCCTTTCCCAGCAACAAGATGTCATTCTGGCCACTCAGTCAGCCCAGGCCTTCCTGGATAAGCAAGGCCACACTCTGGGGCCGGAGGAGAGGCAAAAGCTGCAGGAGAGGCTGGGGGAGCTGAGGGCCCAGTACACTACAGCCTTGTCCCAGTCGGAGGTGCAGCTGAAGCAAGCTCAAGCACTCCAGGATGAGCTGCAGAAGTTTCTACGAGACACTGGGGAGTTCGAGGCCTGGCTGGAACAGGCAGAGCAAGAACTGGAGAGGATGCATGGGGGAGATGGGAGCCTGGAGGGCCTACAGTCAACGCTTCGCTGGCAGAGCGGCTTCTCTGAAGATGTGATCTCTCACAAGGGGGATCTGCGATTTGTTACCATGTCAGGGCAGAAAGTGCTGGATGCAGAGAAGATGGCGGCAGCTGTTGGCAGGCCTCCGGGGCCGGAGGTTTTAGCCACCGGAATGCTCGTCAAGAACAAGTTGGATGACGCTACCAAGAGATATGGCACTCTGCACGCCAAGGTACCTAAAAGGCATGTGAGGCCAGGCCTAAGTGCTGCATAGAAGGGCGTAGGACCATCAACAGACCTTAGCGTGTTCCTGCTGTACAGTCACGTCTTTTGCTATAGGTACAGACATCTCTGCAGTTCACATAACCTTGGTGACTGTGGCATAGGAGAAGGTAGGATTGCTACTTAACCTTGATGACTGCAGCATAGCAGAAGGTAGGATTGCTACTTAACCTTGGTGACTGCAGCATAGAAGGTAAAATTGCTAACACTTTATGCTCTCCACAGCCAGCCAAGCATGCCTTCTTGGCTACACTCTCCATGTATCTCCCCCCCCCCCACCCCCCCCCCCCCCGGGTGTATTTGCATTGGCTGATTTTCTTGCATTGGGAGTTCTTCATGATCTTGTCCCATAATTCTCATGTCTAATGGTCTTCTGAACTCTTTGTAGGATCTGTTCACCCACTAGGTCATTTCCATCAGGCAAGAATAAGGAACTGCCTTCATAGAGAGTGGGGTATGGGTTGAGTTCAGTCTTGCATGATCCACTCTTTTTAAAAGAAATTAGAATCCTTGTGGTTCACTGATATGTGTTAAATTTACAAAGCAAGATTACATATTTGAAATCTTAGAAGAGCTGGAGACTGATGATGTAGATGCAAAACATTAACTTGGCTGCTAGGCTGGTGCTTTGACCTGAAAAACACCCATAGCACCTTTATGCCTTTTCTTTATCTCCTCCCTCCCTTTTTGCAGTGCACTGCTCTGGGCTCCCATCTAAACACGCTGCTGGATCGCTCTAAGCAATTTCAGGATGTCTCAGAATCTCTCCGGACATGGCTGCGAGAGAGTGAAGAGGCTGCGTCAAACCTCCTTTCAGAACCCATTTCCTCCGATCCAGCTGTTTTGCAGAAGCAGCTGGCCAATGCCAAAGTAAGGAAGCAGTCGAACACCTTACCTTGGGTTCAGGTGTTTGGGGGGCTGTTTTTGCTCAGTAGACAAAGGAAAAAATCGAACTCCAAGAAATGCAGCTCTGTCCTCTTACCAGCTTGGAGATACTGTTAAGATAACCCTGTTGTGTTGTGGCCTATTGGGATGCCCAGGAGCTGTATGTTTGCCACAGTTTCTTTGCTGTTATTTCAGGTCGAGAGAAGGGGGGGGGGAATGCTTAACTCCCTTTGTTTCCCCCACCTAGTGTTTCTGACCCAAATCAGGGTCAAGTGCACCATTTATTGTAAAAAAGAAGAAAAAAAAGAACACTTGGGAGTATCCACACACAGAATTCCTAGTATTTCTTTTTGCTTTGGCCTTAAGTGTAGGGCTTGGACCCCCTGCCTTGACAACTTCATTAAAGATGGAGGTTTGGCCATGGCACATATGATCTCTCAGTCAAAACGAGTGCCTCTAGATAGGTGCAGAATGCATTGTCCTCAACAGCAACTAAGCACAGCAGGTGCATGTACATTTGAGATTTGGAGTGACCAGGGCTCTAGGCATGTTTGACCTCCAACTCCTTGCCTGCCTTTAGAATTTAACAAGCAACTTTTTGGTAAATAGCTATTCCTGCCTTGCTCTTACTTTGTCACTTATTGCAACAGAGCCTACAGGAAGACCTTGCGGAGCATCAGGTGCCCATGAAGCAGCTTGAGAAGGCCACACGTTCTCTCTTGGAGATACGCGAAGCCCCCATGCCTGACCACCGAGTCATTCAAGAAACTACCGGTAATGATAGAAAATGTTGCTGGGGATCAAAGATCAGCCTGTCTTGCGCTGTTTGAGAACGTTCGAAGGGGTTGTGCCTTGTATTAAGTCAGGGAGGGGAGATCGTGTCTTCTGGGTTTTCCGCCTCAGGCACTAAATCGTCCTCTGTGATTCCCGGGTGTGGCACTTCTCAGCCACTTAGGCATGGTTCTTGCATTACTGAACTGCTTTTCCAGGCTGGACTCCATGTAACACGTGGTCTGGTTGGAGATCCTCAGCATGATGATTTTGAGCTCATCACCCTCTCCCCAGTTCAACATTCACAGGAATCTCGCTTGGCTTCCTCAGATTCCATCGTGAGCCGTTTCCAGAGTCTCTCCTGTCAGATGGCCGAGCGCTCGGACCTGTTGCAGAAGTCCATTGCCCAGTCGCAGAGTGTCCAGGAGAGCCTCGAGACCCTCCTTCAGTCCATGGGAGAGATTGAAAGGAGCCTCCAAAGGAGTGATGTGGCCTCTTTCTCCTCCTCCTCCGTCCAGGAGTCCCTTGCCACAAACATGGTGAGCCATTTTGCTTTGCTTTGCTGCACCTGGGCTGTTTAGGAGAAATTCCTGAATAGCACTTTGAAGATTTCTGTTTAATCCAACTTTCACTTTTAAAAGGGTTGAATCCTGGCAACTTCTTTTGATGCATTAGTGTTCGTTAAGCACTTTTGGATGTTCAGAGATTATTGCATTATAGTAATCATTCCGGCTGCCCTGTAGGATATTTCAGCATTATTATCCCCCACTCCACCCAACGCAGATGGAAAGCTTACCTAAAGCCATCTAGTGAGCTTATGGCAGAGGCAAGATTTGAACCAGGGACCCTGATTTATATCTCAGTCTCCTAGCCCCACCCTATACCTGCTTCACCATGTGAACCAATGATAAAAAGAGTGCCCCTGTGCATGTGCTGAGTGCTATCTGAGTCAATACTGTATAACCACAGACATTTCTCTAGGCATCTGGGATCTCAAGCCAGGACTTTGCACTCCAGGACTTGCTTGTAACAGTTCAGATGCTTGAGTGCCAAATTTGAGATTATTTGGTTGCACTGAAAAAGGCCTTGCCTGCTATTCATTTGTGTCTAATGGAAATATTGCAAAGCAAGAAGGGAATTATAGCCACCTAAATAGCCTTGACTACCCCAATCATGTCAGAGATTGGAAGCTAAACAATGTCAGCCACTCAAGTACTCAGATGGAAGACCACCAAGGAAGATCTGGGTTGCTGTGCAGAGGAAGACAATGGCAAACCACCTCTGCTCATCTTCTGCCTTGAAAACCCCGTGGTCTTGGAGTCGCCATGAATGAGTTATGACTTGAGGGCGCACAGTTATTATTAAGGAGGAACTGTAAATAAAGTCATCTTTGTCACAGTGAGTTGGAAACTTGGGGGATATCCACTTTTCAGAAGTAGCTGGAACCCTTAGAGGTTGCATATCACCAGATTCTTTCAGTTTTCTAATCTTGATGTCTAGAAGTCCACCTTAGTTGTAAGTAAAAGAATACTTACAGAACACACTCCCAGCTACACTCCCAGTGTAGCACACTCCCAGCCAAAGGAGAGATACAGAATTCATTTTTTTCCCCAAGAGGTAGAGTAATTCTTATATTTATTCATGTACTTCATTTCTTATATCCCACTTTTCTTCCCGACAGGTTCTTGAAGCAGTTTTATGTTCTTCTCCTCCTCTCCTTCATTTTATCTTCACTACAACGTTGTGAGAAAGGCCAGGCTGTGTGTGTGTGTGTGTGTGTGTGTGTGAGTGAGTGACTGTGTGAGTGTGAGTGACTGGCCAAGGTCACCCAGCAAGGATTCAAATGTGAATTTCCTAGATTTTAGTCTGACACTGCAGCCGAATCCCCTCTCTAATTAGTGTTCCATTTTGAGATCTCAGTCTTGTTTATCATTTCTGCTGGTTGGGAGATGTTCATTGGTGTGTAGGAATGGTTGCTTTTGATACAATTGGGAAAAGGAATATACAGTCTATTGTTAAGTTGGAGCAAAACTAATTCCTGTGAAAGACTTTCTGTCCTGGCTTGCTAAATTCCTGTGTTTGAGTGAATCTGTATGCCATGCAGCATCTCCATGCCTGCACAAGACTCCATTTACATGTAGAATTTGCTGTCAGAAGTGGTTGTGATGGCCACAAGCACAGGCAGCTTTAAAAGGGGGTTAGACAGATGCATGGAAGACAGGTCCATCAGTGGCTATTAGCTATGGTGACTAAAGGGGATCTTCACATTCAGAGGCTATATACCTCTGAAGAGCAGTGCTAGGAGGCAACACCGGGGGAAGGCCTTGGCCTCTGAGCCCTGTTGTTAGCCCTCCAGGGCAGCTGGTTGGCCAGTGTGTGAGAAAGGATTCTGAACTAGAAGAACCACCAGTCTGATCCAGCAGGACTTTTCTTATGTTTATTCTGGTGGAGTGTCCCAGCATGTTTAAACACTGCTTCTCATTTTGACCAAGAGCCTTGTGAATCCAATCTGTGTTGACAGGCTCTCCTTCATGTTCTGGTCTATATGAATGTACCTGTCTCTGCATTAACAGAAGCTGAAGCAGGACATTGCCAGGCAAAGGAGCAGCCTGGAAGCCACGCAGGAGATGGTGGCCCGGTTTGCAGCAACATCCGACAGCAGCACAGCGGCAGCCCTGCAGGCCAAGCTGGTGGAGGTGACCAAATGCTTCGACAGTCTACGGAGGTGGCAGCAGGAGAAGGAGGATGGGCTGAAGGACCTTCTCCCCAAGGTGGAGCAGTATGAGCAGCTCTCGGAGAAATTGCAGCAGTTCATGGAGAGCAGGAGTCGCCTGCTGGCCTTAGGGAACCAGCCGGATCATGATATTGCTCACTTCTCCCAACAGATCCAGGTAAGGAAGTCAGTAAACAATGAAGACTCTCGGGGAGTAGTGGCTTGCACATCAAGGCTACGGCATCTCTAGTGACTCACAAGGGTCTCTTGTTAACAAGGCGGGAAACGGGTTTTGCATGGGAACTTCGAGAGGGCTGTCAGCAGCCCAAGTGTGCAGCCAATGCAGGGCTGTTTATTTCAGTAGGCATGTGCAATCCTTGTTTTCTGAATTTCTGGGTGACATAAACTGGCCAACAGACAGGAAAAGATACTGAAACTCAGCTAGGGTTGCCAGCCCCCCAGGTGGGAGTGGGGGGATCCCCTGATTTTGCAGGCTTCTGCCCACCAGCAGCCAGCTAGCCGGTGGGGGGAAGCCCCACCCCCAACAGCCATGGCCCAGTTCAATGTCCCCAACATGATGACGTCATGTGGAAGTGATGTCATCACACCAGGGGATGTCACCCCGCCCCCTTCACTCCCAGAAAGCTCCCACCCCACTGGCAAGAGCCTAGGACCTGGCAACCCTGAACTCAGCCCAATGAATAATCCCTTAGAATCTTAATAAAAACAGTGAACAGAAGTACCTGATTACTGTCAACTGTGAAAAGCCCTGGTAACTGGGCGAGATGTCTTTTTACCAAGATAGTGGCTCACTTTTTAATAATTACAAATAGATCCTTGCACCAATCCTGCTAAAAAAGACTTGGGGGCTGGGCCTCGACTGCTTTCCCCCTCTTTTCCTGTAGAGGGCAGCTCCTTGCCACATGACTGCCAAGCATTGGCCAACACTTGTGGAAGGACTGTGGGCCAAACTAGATGATACCACATCCCCACGTCCTGCACAGGGACACAAAACCATTTTAGAACTTAGTATTTTCCTTTTAGAATCACTACAGGACTGCAGGGCAGAGGAGGGAATTTAATCTCTCCCACCGGAGTCCCTATCAGGATCTGTCCACCATGGCATTTTAAAAAGGCTCTAAAATGGCACTGTGTCCCTATGGCAGGCTTGGAAATGTCCTTTCATCTAGTTTGGCCCTGTATGTGGACCACAATTCTACAGGAGTGCAGAAGAATTATGGAGGATTGTCTTCATTACTGGATTCCGCTCCTAGACGATACACTGAACATGAGTTATCAGTGTGATGCAGTAGCTAAAAAGGCAAATGTGATTTTGGGCTGTATCAACAGAATTATAGTGTCCAGATCACGTGAAGTGATGGTATCACTTTACTCTGCTCTGGTTAGACCTCACCTAGAGTATTGTGTTCAGTTTTGGCCTGCACAATTTAAGAAGGATATAGACAAGCTGGAATGAGTCCTGAAGAGGGCAACAAAGATGGTGAGGGGTCTGGAGACCAAGTCCTGTGAGGAAAGGTTGAAGGAGCTTGGGTATGTTTAGCCTGGAGAGGAGATGACTGAGAGGTGATATGATAACCATCTTCAAGTCCTTGAAGGGCTGTCATCTAGAGAATGGTGCGGAGTTGTTTTCTCTTGCCCCAGAAGATCGAACCAGAACCAATGGGTTGAAATTAAATCAAAAGAGTTTTTGGCTAAACATTAGGAAGAACTTCCTGACAGAGCAGTTCATCAGTGGAACGGGCTTCCTCGGGAGGTGGTGGGCTCTCTCTCTTTTCAGGTTTTTAAACAGAGGCTAGATGGCCATCTGACAGCAATGCTGATTCTGTGCACTTAGATCATGAGAGGGAGGGCAGGAAGGGTTACATTAGTACTTCGTTCTTGTGGCCCTTTCTTACATGCCCAGAGAAATGCTGATCGCCCCTTTGGGGTCAGGAAGCAATTTTTCTCCAGGCCAGTTTGGCTGGAGATCCTGGAGGTTTTTTGTCATCTTCTGGACATGGAACAGTGGTCACTACAAGTGTGGAGGGGGAGGTATTTGTGAATTTCCTGCCTTGTGCAGGGGGTTGGACTAGATGACCCTTGAGGTCCCTTCCAACTTTATGATTCTATAATTCTGTTCTATGATCCTGCATCCTGGGCCATGAGGCATTGTGGGACAGGAAGTGCTGTTTCAGCAGTTCCAGTCCCAGAGTCCAGCTATGTAGAATGGGTCATAAGACATCAGCTGCCTTCTACCACCTGCCCACATGGCTGGCATGGGGTATGTGGTGAATGCGGCTGTGTTGCTGGAGAAGCATGCTGAATTATGCTCTCAGTTCGAAAGCTGATGTTTCCTCCCTGCTTGTTCCATTTTCTTCTTCCAGGAACTGAATTCTGAGATGATGCAGCACCAAGAAAACCTTGGGACACTGGAACGTGTGTCTGCGGAGCTGAGCTCTTGTAGTTTTGCAGTAGCAGCCTCTTCCCAGCACCAAGAGAAGGTGCGCAGTTTGCGGAAAGACTTCCTGCAACTGCAGAAAGCGGCAAAGGAGAGGTATGATATGACCCCAGGTGGCCCTGTGAGGTCCAGGTGGGGCTAACAAAGACAGTGTGCTCAGAAGAGCTCTGGCCATAGAATTTTAGGAGACTGAAGGGCATGTAGTGGTACTAAAGCAGAATATCCCCATACCCCAACCATTTTGTATGGCACAGCCCTCGAGTCAGGTGACCTTTTTTGCAGAGTTGAGCTGGGTTTGGCAGAAGGATCATTGCTTTTGGTAGTACTTGCACCCATTCCATTGTCTCCTCTGGTTAAATGGGTTTTTGTATTGTATCAAAAACCTACAAGCCAGAGAGACAAAAGAAACGTGTGTGTGTGTGTGTGTGTGTGTCAAAGGCAGCAAAGACCTTCATGAACAACCTGCCTAAGAAGGAACGTGCCTTGTGATCACCCAGGGGCTGCCTATGACTCCCTTTCTGTCACTTCAAATTGCCTACTGGGTCTTGTTTAGAATACCACAAGAAGGGGGGACCCGCAATACTCGCGAGG